ACAAAGACATTTAATTGACATTGGATTTGTAATCAGATTTTAGCCAAAATTTTACACTGTTACAACATTGGAATTCCAGTTATTTAGCATAGATATGTTTAATTGAAATTAAACTATATATTGATATTCTAGTTGCTACTTTACCAATCAATGACAATTCTGATGCAAGAAAAGATGGATATCGACTTATTAAAATTATGTTGACAAAAAAAGAATAGGAATTATTAGCTGATTTATGTTTTATATTAGAAGGATTTGCTAAAGCTATTACTTATCTTGAAACAAGCAAATATGTAACACATAGTATTATGAGTCCTTTATTAAAAGAGATTGAAAGATGCATTAAATCAGCAAATTTAATATTTGAAACTGATGTAGATTTGGAAAATATTAATGATGTTTTTGAAAAAATAGAGAAGGCGAAATTTTAGAAACAAATGAAAAAAATTGATTCTACAACTAATCAACATAAAAATTTAAATCTTAATGATTCTTTAGATACTAATGGAATTTTAGAAAAAGTTAAACATTCTTTATATAAAGCAATAAAAATTTATTGACATACTGAAGAAGAAGATGCACTTATATCAGTAATACTTGATTCTAGGATTAAATCCCTTACTTTTATTAATAATCAAGATTTAAAAGATCAAACAAAAATATTATTACAAAATAAATATAATGCACTTAAAAAAGAAACTATATCACCAATATTACTAGAAGTAAGATCTGAACCATTATAAAGTTTCTTTCTTATTTTTTATTTTTGAAAAACAACAAACCCAACAAATTAATGATGAAGTTTCAGCATATTTGAATTTATCTGAAATAAATTTCAAAATGAATCCATTTTATTAGTAACGTGATCACAAAGGTCAATTTCCTCTTCTTTCACAATTAGAATGAATTTATCTTCCAGTTTCAGCAACTTCTACTACAAGCGAAAGATTGTTTAGTGATGCTGAAAATCTTCTAACTGCAAAAAAACACGTTTAAATTCAGAGTTATTTAAGTGTCTAATGTTTTTAAAAAGAAATGTTTCATTTATTGATAATATTCATCCACCAATTAATAAATAATAATGGGAATAGGTGGAATATTGAAGAGAATGAAATTAATATATTTGAATGATATAAAAGTTAGCTATATAAGATTATAATAGGAATTTTTATGAAAATAAAGGAAAATATAGAAAAAGATTTATAATCGTAATATTAATATTTTTGGGGTTATTTTCTCTTTATTAATAAATATATTATACTATCATAATTACTTGTAAAAAATTTTTTAAGTATGATAGTTTTTCATCCTTTGAAAAGGAAATTATAAATTATCGCACAGATTTTATTTTAATATAAATTTTTTTATTTTAATTTTTTTTCCATAATATTACATTTATCTTTTTTTCTTTTTGATATAATGATATAATTAATTAGTAAAAAAAAGAAAAAACTAACTAAAATAACTATTTATGAAATATATCTTAAAAAAATTAATAAAAAACAAATTAACCCTCTCATTCACTCCTCTAAAAAAACCTTTCAAAAAGAATTACATCTAAAGATCAGCTCCTAAAAGAAAAAGAAAGAAATTAAAAAAATCATCACCTCTAAGGAATCCTTAAAGAATCCTATAAAAGAAGACTTACCTTAAAGATCCAAAAGACCTGAAGAAAATTCTCCTAAATTATTAAAAAAGAATAAGAAAAAATGAAAAAAAAGGTAGTTAAAAAACCTCTTATTGAAGAATCTCCAAAGAAATTTACCTTAAAGATCTAAAAGACTCGAAGAGAATGCTCCTAAATTAATAAAAAATGAAAAAAAATGAAAAAAAGGTTATTGAAAAAAAAATCAAAAATAATCGCTTGATAAGATTAATGAAATGATTAAATAATCAAAATGATATTTCAATTTCAAATTTTATTTATTTACAAATATTCTATAAATAATCTATAAATACTTTATCTGGTATAATCTGTAATTTATCTGCAGATAAATTTTTATAATTTACGCAGATATATACAGATATTCAGATAAATTATTTAGCTAACAGATATCTGTGGATTATTACAAATTATCCGGATCGCTTTACTAGTGACACTTTTGCTTTCACTAATTTTTTTCTTACATAAAAATATTTTGATATTACTTGTATTAAAAAATTCAATTAGATGTATAATATTGTTATTATTTGTTATTTTTATTTTGTTATTTTTTTATTTTACATAAAATTTATATGTTATTTCAAATTTCTTAATAATTACGTA